CAGAACCTCAGGGTGGGTACCCCCGAGGTACTGCTGCTTCTGCGCTCAGCCTTTGCCTCTACCCAGGCACCCCAGATCCAACTCCTCCCCGCCAGAAACAAACCCGCCCGGTGCGCCCAGGTGCGCGCGCGGTTGCGCAGCGCCGTAGGGCCGCCCGCCCCCTTCCAGCCTCCCCCAGCCCCGGGGTGGGGAGAGTTAATCCCGAAAGGTTCGTCACCGGTTCCGGAGCGAGGTTGCCGAAGGCTCCTCCCATTGGCTGCCGACTGTCTCTGCGCTGATTGGCTGAGGCTCCCGCTGCAGCTGTCAGAGAATCCCCATTGGCGCCGCGGTGCGGTGCCAGGAGTGTGGCGGCCCGGCCTCCCCAAGACTACACCGGCGGTGCTCGGGCGCTAGTAGCTCCTTGGAAAGCTCACCCCGAGCCGGGGTCCCGACTTCTCTCTCGATCCAGCCCGGTGACTTTCTCGAGGACACCTGCGGATCGCGGATCCTTTTTCTCCTGTGGGCTTTCTCTTCCCCTGCCTCATCACCTTTCATATCCCGGCTCCCTGCGGCTAACCCCTGCATCCCACCTGTCACCTCCTGCCACTCCTTCCTGACTTCTGCCCTTCCTTGACCCCATAAGCTCTTGACCGCCAGGGACCCGTCATAACCTCGCCAAACTCTCCTACACTCCTCTCTCTCTAAGCCAGTTTCTGACTCCCGAATTCGAACTAACCCTTCACTCCTTGACGTTTGACCCTGACACTTAACTTGAAACCTCTAAATTCTTACTTCGTGCAGCCTGGGCTGCAGAAACCAAGTCTTCCCCTGACTTCAAGCCTGCTCCCTTGCTTCCCTTTGCTGGCCAACTGCTGTCCCACTATGGACTTCTTGATGAGCGGTCTAGCAGCCTGTGGGGCCTGTGTGTTCACCAATCCCCTGGAGGTTGTAAAAACCAGAATGCAACTGCAGGGAGAACTGCAGGCCCCGGGCACCTACCAGCGACACTACCGCAATGTCTTCCACGCTTTCTTCACTATCGGCAAGGTGGATGGCCTGGCTGCACTACAGAAAGGCCTGGCACCTGCACTCTTATACCAATTCCTGATGAATGGCATCCGCCTAGGCACCTATGGGCTGGCTGAGGCTAAGGGCTACCTGCACACAGCTGATGGCAACCTGAGTCCTGTCCACAGCGCAGCAGCTGGGGCCCTGGCTGGAATCATGGGAGCCTATCTGGGGAGTCCCATCTACATGGTAAGGAGAAAGAGGTGGTCTTACCTGGGGTCCTCAGGGGCAGAACCTTGGGGTAGAGTGAGGGTCTGGTCCTTCACAAGAGCGTAGGTGGCAGGGTGTTGTCCCCTTGCAAAGAAGGGGAGAGTATTACAAAATTGCTAGTAGGTTGTTAAGGCCTTCTGATCTGCTCTGTGCACACCCAAACAGTGCAAATAGTCAGATATGTTGAAGAAGATTATGGACTTCAGTCAAGATTATGGGAATCAGTCTTCCTGGCACGCATAGCTTGAATTTGAAAATTACTCACTGTAGCTGGGTGCTAGTGCCTCACACCTATAATCCTATCTACTCAAAAGCTGAGATCTTAGAATTACTGTTTGAAGCCAGCCCAGGCAGGAAAGTCTGTGAGACTCTTATCTTCCAATTAACTACCAAGGGGCTGGGAAGGTGGCTCAGTGGTAGAGTGTTTGCCTAGCATACATGAGGCCCTGGATTTAATTCCTCAGCACCACATAAGCAGAAAAATCCGAAAGTGGTGCTGTAGCTCAAGTGGTAGAGTACTAGCCTTGAGCTGAAGAGCTGAGGGACAGCACCCAGGCCCAGAGATCAGGCCCCATGACCGACAAAAAGAAAAAAAAAAAACACAAAACAGTTAACTACCGAAAAAGTGAGGTAGAGCTGTGGATCAAGTGGTAGAGTGTCAGCCTTGAGCAAAAAAGCTAAGAGACAGCTCCCAGGCCCTGAGTTCAAGCCCTAGTGAGAGAGAGAGAGGAGAATTATTCATTGTTGAACTTCAATTCTTCAATTGCCACACCTGTGAAATTGAGATAATTGCAGCAACCTTTTTGTGACCCTAGGGAGCACTAAGGAAGACAAATGAGGACACTAGCACAAATCCTGGCATAGATAAGCATTTTTAATAGTACTGCTTTTATTATTTTTGCTAATGTTTTATGCTATTTATTTAGGTTGGATTTGTGGAGGGGAAGCTGAAGATTTGAGTAACATGTATCAGTGATTATAGGGATCTGGAAGGCCTGGGTACCCCAGAATTACAACTTCACAGTGTACTCTTTTGAATTATTAGCTATAGGTCAAGGGCTGGGAACATGAGGCCCAGAGAGGGAAAGTGACCGCTTCAAGGTCACACAGCTGTTTATTGCTGAGGCTAGGCCATGCTTAGTGTAGTTAAGAGAGTGAGAAGCAGTGCATTTTGTGGAAAAGCCCACTTAGTCTCACTTGTAAGGTATTCAATTTAGAGACAGTGGCCTCTTCAAAGTCAGCTGATCACCTGCCCCTATGGACCCTGGTAGCTAGAAAGTTGACGGTGGCCAGAGTCTAAGAGGGGAATCTGATTGAGGTGGTAGCTGGAAATCTGACCTGAGAATGGGAACTGGCATAAGAGGCACAGAACCCAGGTCTTGCTTAACAACCAGTCTTAGGAAATGTCATTCTCCAACCTCTCCACCCCACCCCCACCCCTCAGCCCCAGGAGAAGGAGGAATTGGAGGGGGCAGGGTATCTTGCAGTGCTAGGAGATCTATCCCTTGGGACTGCAGCCAAGGGACACAGAGTCTCAAGACCAATCTGCTAAGTGGGAACAACAATAATTATCAGATTAAAGGGTGGGGGGGTGTTCATTGCTTAATACCCTGGAAGAAGTATAAGGGGAGCGGGTCAGGCAATGGCCTGTGGCAATGGCAGTGGCCAATGGCCACTGGGGTACAAGTTGTAATATTCTCTCTTCCCCAGGTGAAGACGCACTTACAGGCACAAGCAGCCTCTGAAATTGCGGTAGGGCACCAGTATAAGCACCAGGTGAGGGTTCCCCAAACCATTATACCTGACCACCCTCTCCCATTTTTTTTCCCCCAGCTTTCTGCTTGCCCCCAGCCGCTCCAACCCTGACCACTATTCTATCCAATAACATTAATCCAGGCCCACCTGGACCCTCACATACCCTTGTTCTTCAGACCTCCTGCCCATTTCTCCTGCCTCATTCTCTTGATCTACTAATGTCCTCACTTCCCTCTTACTTCAGCCCTTACTCTGGGATGGGGAGGTATGGCAAATACTGAAGGCCCATATTCTCGGGCTCTAAGCCCACATCGAATTGGTTGTTTGGACAATAGGTGCTTATTAAAGACTGATCCTTGCCAGTGATAGTGGTGACAGCCCCTGATGCTGGGGTGACTGAACCCCACCCCCATGGTCTTCCCCCCACCAGGGCATGTTTCAGGCACTAACGGACATTGGCCAGAAACATGGTCTGATGGGGTTATGGCGTGGGGCCTTGGGAGGCCTGCCCAGAGTTGTCGTCGGTTCCTCTACCCAGCTGTGCACCTTCTCATCCACCAAGGACCTCTTGAGCCAGTGGGAGGTACTTCCTGGGAAGGGGTGGGACCTTCCTGGGAATGGGATAGGGATTGGGCCAAGGGAGGTGAGGGGCTGGTGTCAACATTCAGATGTAAGGAAGGGAACAAGCAATAGGAGGGTTTGGGGTTCACTGACTTCTCAGGTTCTTCCCAAGATTCTCTAGTCACTTCCATCTAGAAAGGGATACTGGAGCCCGCAGAGCATGCTGACCTTCCTCCCACATACTGTTATCATACTAGTAGGGTAGAAGCAGGGCCTGTCCTGCCCTAGGAGATGAATAATTCGCTATAAAACAGACTAAGCGGGGCTGGGAAGGTGGCTCAGTGGTGAGCGCTTGCCTTGCATGCCTGAGGCCCTGGGTTCGATTCCTCAGCACCACATAAGCAAAAAGAAAAAAGCAGGAAGTAGTGGTGTGGCTCAAGTGGTAGAGTGCTAGCCTGGAGCTGAAGAGCTGAGGGACAGCGCCCAGGCCCAGAGTTCAGGCCTCACAACCGGACCCAAAAACAAAAACAAAAGCTGACTAAGCTTTTCTCTCCTGTAGATCTTTCCTCCCCAGAGCTGGAAGGTGGCTCTGGCCGCTGCCATGGTGAGTGGCATTGCAGTAGTCATGGCCATGACACCATTTGATGTGGCCAGTACCAGGCTCTATAACCAACCCACAGATACTCATGGCAAGGTAAGGGAGTGCTTTGGGGTGCAGACAAGCAGGCAAATCTGGGAGGGGGGCAGGGAGCAGCAGACTGTGGGTGTAGAAGGGAGAGCCTCAAATGCAGTCTGCAGAGATGAGACCGCTGCTGGACTCTGACAAGCTCCTTCCCCTCCAACATGTCCAGGGCCTCATGTACCGGGGAATCCTGGACGCTCTGCTGCAGACAGCTCGGACAGAGGGCATTTGGGGCATGTACAAGGGTATAGGCGCTTCCTACTTCCGCCTTGGGCCCCACACCATCCTCTCTCTCTTCTTCTGGGACCAGCTGCGCTTTCTCTACCACACGTACACTAAATAACAGCGGCTCTCGCACGTGCCACCAAATTGACACTTTCTCACATACTTTTGCCTCTACTACTATGCCTTGGTGACTATAAACCATGTGTCTTTTCATCCGCCTAAGCGGGAGAGCCAACCCCACCCTCTATCTATTCTCTCAGGGTTGAATCACTCCAAGTAGTAGTTTCCTTTCTTTCTTTGGGTGTTGTTGCTTTAAACCTTCCCATTCAACCCCTTGTATCCTCCGCACCCCTGTCCTCAGGGCTGAACCAGTCACTCCAAAGTGATTTCTTCCCTGTTTCCACTGCCAGCCTTAGGTTCCTCTTGTTCCCACGCACAGCTTTAAAACTTTACCATCCAAGACCAAAGGGAACTGAGAAGAACCAGGTGTCCTGTTAGATTCAAAGGCACAATCATGATATTGGTTATAAAGCAAATTTATTTCTGCAGAGAGGAGGTGTCTTATGTTTATGCACAGAGAAGTAAAAGGAACCCCGGGGTATTCACCTCTTTTTCCTCCACCCTTCCAGAACTGGGTCCCTAAATTCTCAGCAGCATCACGCAATGCTTCAGGAATCTTTACTGGGGACCAAAGATGTTGGGATCATGGAGGGTCAGACTGGTCACTAGTTGTTCAAAGTTACTCAGGCTCCAGGGTGGAGGTGACAGATTTTCAGGACCAAGAGATGACCTGTTCTCAGAGCTTATGGGTGGGAAAACAGAAGAAGACAGAACATCATCCAGGATTGAGGTTTGGAAGATCCCACTTCCGGTTCCCTAGGACCCACAGGGATTGATCCCAAACCTCGGGCCTATTCCTCCCTCCTTGAAAAGGACCCCACCAGCCCAACTCCCTGCTCTGCCCACCCAGTCTGGAGACCAGTCATAACATTCCCACCCTTTCCTGCCTCCTTACGGGGGTTGGTTGAAGGTGAGCAAGAGATCAGTTTGGTACTGGGGCAGCCGAAGCAAAGCCTGATGGAGTGTCACATCCTTTGCTACCTAAAGGGATGTCAGGCTGTTTATTTGGACCCTTGGAGCCATACACCCTTCTAGGGCATCCTACCCTCCCAGCCCCTCACCTGCTGGCTCCCTTTAGTTATCTGCTGTTTCCCAGAGAGGAGCCAGGCTTCTTGGCAGCAGCCCCGCAGGGCCAGGTTCTCCAAAGTGAGGGGTTGCACCGACTCCACCTGCTGGATCCTAGCCTCCTGCACCCAGCCGACGTCCTCAAAATGGTATCTGGGGTGGGAGAGAAGGGTCAAGGTCCCTGGGCGCCCCACCCCACCCCTGAGCATGTTGAAGTCTAGGTCTCTCACTTTTTGGCCTTTAAGTTCTGCTTCAGGAAAACAAACTAAAAGCCAAAACAAACAAACAAAAAAACGTCCGGGCCCAGGCCCCGCCCGCTTCCTCGGCCCAGGCCCCGCCCATTGGCCGGCCCCCCGCACCGCGCAGCCGCTTCGCCCTGCACGTGGGCCTGCAGCTCCAGAAGTTCCACGATCAGGCTCTGGTCGGTCTCTGGGTGGCAGAACACTTCTTGGTTATCCGGAACGGGTCGAAGGTCGCTAGAGGAAAGAGGCGAAGTAGACCCTGGTGACTCCAGCTTCTTCCCGCCACCCACCCGATCGGGCTCCAGGGACGCCTGGACCTTCTCACCTGACATCAATAGCCCCTGGAGGGAGGATGACGGAGAAGGCGCCCCCAAACAATGGGAAGTCTCTTGTGGGTTCCATGGTCCCGGGATTAGGGTATGGAGACTAAAGGGTTTTTAAAGAAACCCATATGGGGCTTCGTGGCATCTCCCACCCGCACCCCCAGGGTTTCGAAGCCACCACCCGGTCTCCTCCGTTTGCTTAGTTCCTGGTCCTTTAAGATTCAGCCCCGCCCCGCCGCCGAGCTGGCCAATCAGCGTCCGCCTTCTGAGGGCGGGGCCCGGCGAGGCCGCTCTGGGAAGCAGGGGCCTTGGGAGGGCGCGGGGCGGGACCTCCGGATCAGGCGCGCAGGTCCAGTCTGGATTTAGGATTTGTGACGCCTGCGCCCGCCGGACTCCTCCTTTTAAAGGGATCGCACCTTCTAAGAAGGTCATTTGGAGCCCTTCTTAAGGATAGCTATCCATCGAAGGCTCCCGTGTCTAGGTGCGGTCTCCCGAGTCCAGAGAGTCGTTACAGGGTGTCCTGGGGCCAATTGACAGCGAGTGGGCTGCTAGCCAGACCACGGGTCCCTGGGTCCCATGCTGAGAATTAAAGAAACAAGAGGTCCAGGTGTAGGTCTCGGTTAAGATTCAGGCCTCACACCTACTTCCTGAAAGCGACACCCTGTCTGAGATTACAAATCTAATCCCCTCAAATCTTTACTTTGGGAAAGCTTGGGACACGCTCTTCTACCCGCACACCTGGACGGAAGCATAGATTAAACTCTGTTGTTTTTCTTTTACAGATTTTCAGAGTGTTCTTTTAAGTATTTGTTCAACCATAACCTTCCAATTAATTTCTCTATTCATCATGATCCCCAACACCTGGCACAGAATTTAGAGCATAACAAGCCTATTGTTGAGTGACTGAATAAACCTATAATTGCCAGTGTCTGGAACCCTGAAGGCCACTAAGCCCTCAAAGGTTCCGGTCCCTACTTCCCAAAAAAGAACTAGACAAAGTGATTCCCATACTGATGCCATCTGGAGCCTAACACTTGAGTAAAATGAAACTAAAGGGTACATACTTACTAGAACCTTACATTAACAATCCCTATATGAAGGGCTGACCATAGAGAGGAAATTTGAGACACAGCCCTCTCCTCCTTCCTTTGTTTCCCTTCCTTCTTTCTTTCCATTTTCTTTTCTTTTTTTGGTCAGTCATGAGGCTTGATCTCAATATAGGTGCTATTCCTGAGCTTTTTCACTCAAGGCTAGCACTCTACCTACCACTTTGAGCCATAGCTCTACTCTTAGGCTTTTCCGGTGGTTAGTTGGAGATGAATTTCACAGACTTTCCTGCCCACATTGGCGTTGAACCATGAGCTTCAGATCTCAGCCTCCTGAGTAGCTAGGATTTCAGGCATAAGCCAACCAGTGCCAGGCCTTTCCATTTTCTTTTGGCATACATTAATACTATAAGGAGTTTTCTGAGCTGGCACTGGTGGCTCACACCTGTAATCCTCCATTTTCTTTTGGAATACATTGATACTATAAGGAGTTTTCTTACCGGGGCACTGGTGGCTCATGCCTGTAATCCTAGCTCCTCAGGAGGCTGAGATCTTCAGATCTCAGTTCAAAACCAGCCCAGGCAGGAAAGTCCATCAGACTTACCTCCAATTAACCACCAGAAAACCAGAAGTGGCACTGTGGCTCAAGTTATAGAACACTAGTCTTGAGCTGAAGAGCTGAGGGACAGTGCCCAGGCTCAAAGTTCTAGCCCCATGACGCACAAAAAAAAAAAAGTTTTCATTTTTATAATTCCATACAAACATACAGTGTTCTTTAAGTTCACCCCTTCTATTATATTTCATTTAAACAGTTCACTCCTTCTATTGTATTTCATTATCCCTTCACCCCAATTGTAAGGTTGAGAGAGTTCACCAGGGCACCCTATGGTATTCTAGCCAATAAAATGTAGGTGGGAAGACTTGGAGATAAGAAAGTATGTGCTGGGGAATGTCAGTATATCAGTTTGGCAAGGAGAAGAAGGGAGGGAAAAGGGAGAAATGGGCAACAGGAAGCAATGAACATTGCCAAATACAGGGTTTTGTTTGATTAGTTTTTTTATTGGTTTGCTTTGTGTGTATGTGTGCTCGCGCGCGTGTGTTTGTGTGTGTGTGTGTGTTGGGCTTTTCATTGGGGGCCTCTCATTCTCACTTGGCTTTTTTGCTCACTTCTGGTTCTCAATCACTTAAGCTATGCCTCCACTTCTAGATTTTTTGATGTTTAATTAGAAAATAAGAGTCTCAAGGCTTTGTCTTCCCAGGCTGGCTTTGAGCCAGGATCCTCAGATCTCTGCCTTTTCAGCCTTTTCAGAAGCTAGGGTTATAGGCCTGTACTGCCAAAACCCAGGTAGTTTTTGTTTGCTTGTTTGCTTATTTAGGTGCTGCTGAAGTGCCCAGGGCTTTTCACATCCTAAGCAAATGCTTTACTATTGAGCTTCACCCCAGCTCTCTACAGAATTTTTGTAGAACGTAAGAAGCTTGGACTCCCCAGTTCCTTCTCTCTCTCTCTCTCTTTCTCTCTCTCTCTCAACATAGTCTTACTATATAGTTTAGGCTAATCTTGAACTTGCTATTCTTTTGCCTCCGTTTCCTGAATGTTGGCATTACAGGAGAGCACCACCATGTCCAGCTTGAACTCATTTTTTTTTCTTTTCTTTTCTTCTTGTTTTTTGGTTGATCATGGGGCTTGAACTCAGGGCCTGGGCACTCTGAGCTTTTCTGCTCAAGGGTAGCACTCTGCAACCTTTGAGTTTTTCTGGTGGTTAATTAGAGATAAGAGTCTCAGGAGCCGGACGCCAGTGACTCACGCCTGTAATCCTAGTTACTCAGGAGATGGTCTGTGAGACTCTAATCTCCAGTTAACCACCAGAAAACCTGAAGTGGTGCGGTGGCTCAAGTGGTAGAGCACTTCCCTTGAGCTGAAGAGCTGAGGGACAGCACTTGGGCAAAGAGTTCAAGTCCCATGACTGACAAAAAAAAAAATCTCATGGACTTTCCTGCCTGGGCTGGCTTTGAACTGCAACCCTCAGATCTCAGCCTCCTGAGTAGCTAGGATTACAGACAGAGCCAACAATGCCTTACAAACTCATTTCTTACTGCAAGCATCAGACTTCTCTCTGAGCCTCTTTTCTCATCTCTAGAATACTGTTAGGATTAAGTGAGATTGGCTGTACTTGAATTTGAAACTGTTTCAGGACAGAACTCATTTTGTTCCTTAGGGAACTTTAGAGGGAAATTCTGTAGGCCATAGAGGGAGAAGACTAGTCATGAAAAATCAAGGACACTGGGTTATTATAAGGACCTCCTCTGTGCTTCCTCACTGAGACAAGGAGAAACAAACCCTTTCTGTCCTTTCTTCCCATTTCTGCCCAACTATTACCAGTCCCCTCCCAGGGCAATACTGACTCTGACTGCTTGTAAGCAACCACGCAGATCAGAAATTTTTTAAAGAGACCTCCAAAGACATAGAATGATCAGGACTGGACACAAGCCTATTTATGAATCAAGAGGAAGAGGTTAGATTAGAGGAGAAACCCACAGGATAATAGGTCCAGGATAATAGGTATCACTGGACAGATCTGTTAACCCAGATGGACCTCAGCCACTTTCCTCGGTGTGATTGTGAGTCCAGGTCTCAGCCTTCTAGTTGTAGACCTGCAACTGGCTGCTTCTGTACCCCTGGGACATCCCCTTCTTTAATGCCTTGTCTGAATATGGGTGACCTACCAGGTATGAAAAACAGGTTTAAAGATAGAAACCGGCTAGCTACTCAAGAGACTGAGATCTGAAGACAGAGTAAGCCCAGCCTACGGCCGGATGCCGGTGGCTCACGCCTATAATTCTAGTTACTCAGAAGGCTGAGATCTGAGGATCGAGGTTCAAAGCCAGCCCAGGCAGTAAAGTCTGTGAGATTTTTATCTCCCATAAACCTCTAGAAAACCAGAAGTGGCACTTTGGCTCAAGTGGTAGAGTGCTCCCCTTGAGCTGAAGAGCACAGGGACAGCGCCCAAGCACAGAGTTCAAGCCCCACGACCGACAAAAACAAATCAAAAAAACAGCCTAGGCAGGAAAGTTTGTGAGACACTTATCTCCAGCAAAAAGCCAGAAGTGGTGGCATGGCTCAAGTGGTAGAGTACCAGCCTTGAGCAGAAAAAAACTAAGGAACAGTGCCTAGCCCTAAGTTCAAGCCTTAGTGCCAGCACACACACACACACACACACACACACACACACTAAAGGAAGAGGCCTGGCCAAGAGAAATGGAGATGTCAATGACCGAAATAGGAAAATGGGGGATTTAATGGTGAGGAGAGGAAAAAATGAAAGGGGAAGGGTGCCTGTGTTCTTACCCATAAGTCACTACACAGTTGACCCTATGTCCTCCCCAACAATGGGGTCCAATGCCTCTGACTCTGCCATTCACATCTTTTTTAAAAATAGACTTATCATCAGTACAGCACCTTCCCAGAAAATGTGAGTTCATGAGTTCAAACTTGAATGCCACCATGAAAAAAAATTTTCAAAAAGGTCTAATTGGGGACTGGGTAGGTGGTTCAGTGGTAGAGTGCTTGCATTGCATGCATGAGGCCCTGGGTTCAATTCCTCAGCACCGCATAAACAGAAAAAGCCAGATGTGGCACTGTGGCTCAACTGGTAGAGCGCTAGCCTTGAGCTGAAGAGCTGAGGGACAGCGCCCAGGCTCAGACTTCAGACCCCACGACTGACCAAAAAAAAAAAAAAGGTCTAATTGTCCACCAGTGGTTCACATCTGTAGTAATACTAGCTATTCAGGGGTCTGAGATGTGAGGTTTAAAGCCACCCCTGACAGAAAAGTCTATGAGATTCCATTGCCAAAACAGGCAAGAGCAAGCAAGCTGAGCAAGTATGAGGAACTGAATACAAGCCCCAGTGTCAGGGAGATGAAAAGGGTTATTCAACTCATAGTTATGATTGGGTAGCCACATCTAATTGGTAAGGACCTCATGCTGATTCAACTCATGACAGAAAATAGAAGAGTAAGTGGACATGTACATAAGAGAGAAAACCCTAGGATGGCCTGGGGCCAGTGGCTCACATCTAAAATCCTTGCTGCTTAGGAGGCCAAGATCCGAGGATTGTGATTCAAAGCCAGCCCAGGCAGAAAAGCCCTGAGACTCTTAAATCTAAGTAACCATCAAAAAGCCAGAAGTGGAGATGTGGCTCAGGTGATAGTGCTCTAGCTTTGAGAAAGGAAGAAAGAAAGAAAGAAAGAAAGAAAGAAAGAAAGAAAGAAAGAAAGAAAGAAAGAAAGAAAGAAAGGAAAGAGGAAGGAAGGAAGGAAGGAAAGAAAGAGAAAGAAGGAAAGAAACTTCAGGGACAGCATCTAGTTCAAGCCCCAGGATCAGGCCCCCCCAAAAATATAGGGAAGACTTTGCTTATAACAACCTCTTCTAGCCATAACTAGTCTAACCAGTCTAGTTCCACCATTGAGAACTGATGGCTGAAAGAGTTTCATTCGTTCAGACTTTGTCATGATTCTCACACCTGTCACTAAGCTCTACCTCCAACAATATGGTATTGGAGATCAAGCCTCAATATAAGTTTTTTCTATTTTTGTTTTGTTTTTTTGTTGGACATGGGGCTTGAACTCAGGGCCTGGAAGCTATCCCTGAACTCTTTTGCTCTAGTTAGTTGCTCTACCATGTTGAGCCACAGCTCCACTTCTGGCTTTGTGGTAGCTACTTGGA